TTTTTCTTTCCGCTCGCTCCGAGCGCATCGTTTGTCAGGCCTCCCAAAAACCAGACGCAGACAGAACTGCCAAGTTTGGCAGGAAGTTGTGCGCATGCTTAAAAGATTTAATCTGATCCAACGCTTGGTACATGTATACACACGTCATGATCGGATCATTTCATTTAGTATCCATGTAAAAAGAGATTTTGAATTTCCGATCAACCAAGGTTTGGATCGGATCGGGGAAATTTTGCGCATGTAAACGTAGCTACTGTCTTCATGTAAATAGTTAAACAGCGCTGTTTTGATATAATGCAAAATGTAGGTATGATTAAGACAGATTCTCATCTTAAATCTACATTCCTGGTCAAGCTTGGTAAAATCGAGAAAAATTATTAGTGTGTTATTCCTGTCAGGGCTCCAGTCTTTGTGTTTGTTTTTGTGTTTGTCTCCCTTCCACCAACAGGAGGCGCCTGGTTCCGGTCCGCCTCCTCACACACCTGCTGTCGGTTACCTCATTAATGGAGTGCTCTTAAGCTGCTGATTGCCCTCGGTGCCAGAGTGTTTGCCAGTTTTTGGAACTCTAGCCAAGCTGAGTTTTCGCTGAGTAAGACTGAGTTTTTACCTACCTGAGTTTTAACTTTGTTTTTTGTCTTTGCCTCTCGGCAGGAAGTCATCCTGCAAACTGGGGCTTTTCGGACCTTCTCTCCCAGGAGGGATCAACTGAGCCTTAAACTGAGCCAGGGATTCAAACAGGAGGTTTGGATCCAGTCTCCTTGAGGACATTGAAATTACTCTCTGAGCAAGGGAATCATCTTCACTACGACCCGTTCAAGTACAGCAGGAAATCTAAGTGGCAATCCGTTCACCTACACCGTCCGAGTTCTGGGTTAACCCTGTTCCACCCTCCACCGAATCAGACAAACTCTGGAAAACAACACACAGATTGGAGTCAAAGATCCTTCACTTCTCTGGAAACGTGAGTCATCAACCAGATCCTCTTCTTCAAATCAATGAATGAAATTTCCAACTGAGCCTGAACTAATAGTCTGCCTTCCCCTCACTTTCCAGTTCACTTTCCACACTGCACCGAACTGAATCACTTCAATAAAACCTGTTAAACTTTTCATCTGTGTCCCTCTGTTTGGACTTCTGCATTTTGGCTCAGACCTTTAAATTAAATCATGACAATTCCAAGCTCTCATTGATAATACCTAGAAATAACTGCTTGTATGGAATTGAGAAACATCTTCCTGTAAATTAGATGGCTAATATATTATAGATATTATATAAAATATTGTCATATCCTGCGTTTTTCATTTTATCCATTAAGCTACTGTGTAAGGTTTTCTTATCTTGCAATGTATATTGCTGTTGATGATGGAGGATGTGTGGAATTCAATCATAATATTTACATTTTCCCAATCCAGTAACTTTTCAGTTTAGTTGTAGTTATCTACACAAAGCTGTTGTTGTATTTTTTTTAAATTAACAAACTAAGCTATATGAAAACATTACAGAAGGGTATTAAAAGCTTTAAAACAAAATCTAAATAAAAAAAAAACTGCAAGTTCAAGAAACTAAATAGTTTTTTGAAGTTGTCTTCTGTTATCCAACATGATTCATGATTCTGAGTCAAAGTATTCTGTAATTCATTGTAGTCAGTTTTAACAGAAAAATGACTGTCTACAGTAGAACGTCTGACTTAGATGAAAAGTTTCACTAAAAAAGGTGCACGTCATCTTGGAATGACCAGAGGAACCTATATCCCTCAATGTATTCAATGATCCCAAAGGCAAATTCGGCGATAACAAAAAAATATCGCTGTTATCTATTCTGAAACCTGGGTTGGGAGCTGGGTCTATACTAAGTAAGCTGTGATGATTTTCACCTTGATATTTTAGTGCGGATGTATACCTGGGCGCGAGAACAAATCAGTCTTCCATCCTGTGTAGACCTACTGTGAATGTAACGTGCTGACATGGATGCAGCTATAAAGTCGCTGGGTTTACTTTAGGGAAATTTTATCTTTAAGAAGCTTCTCAACAGAAACTTCGACAAGACTAAAGCTGTTTGCACCTTGTGCAATGGGAAATTAGTTTATTGCAGGATTTTCTCTGCAAAACATTCCGGTAAGCCGGTCAGGACAGCTTTATCAGCCAATAACTAATCTCCTGGCTCAGTGGATAG